GGACGGGAGAAATATTTATATGGCCTACATTTATTTCTCTCGTGAGTTTGGGTGTAATTTGTGGTTGTCTATGTGTGTGTGTGTGTGTGTCCATAGCACCCGCGACACAGGGTTTCCCTTATGCGGAGCTATATTGCGTGTGTGCGTTATTATTATTATTATTTAATAGTAAATACCTAAACCTAGTAAAACAGTTTTTCCCGCTGCTCCTCTCGTGATTCGCCTTAAACACAATACTTTCACCTACAACACAGCTCACCAAGGCCTCCCTCAAGCCAAAATAATAATGATTTATTATCTCAACAACCCAAAGAAATAAATCTTACATGAAATAAAGACTAACAATGTTAAATGTTGTAACCCTTGTAAGAGACTGGAGACCGTGTCTCGTCTATGTATCTCGATTTTGTGGTCTTTATAATAAAAGTATTAAGTCGAAATTTTTACAAAATGAAAATACGGAAATATTGCACCAGTGCTGCATAAAAGTCAACACTACAGTGTAAACTTTGATATAGGTTTTAATTCTTATTTGTATAAGTATATGCTAGCATATTGATCGCACGCAATACGGATCAAATCTCTGACTAACTATTCCAATTCGAAATTCCTAACATCGATGCCCTGTAGCTAAATGAAGTTTTCACTGGGAAACGGCAACTGTTTCAGACATTACCTCTACACCTAAACACGAGTGTGACGTCAATTGATACAATTATTGGATGTAATTTTTATCAGAACCATCGGCAACAGTACGTTGAAATTGTAACCTAAATTAGAATTATTTTTGGGTGAGATTAAACGCACTTTGATCTTGATTAAGCAAAACAAACTTTGCTTAAGTTTTAGCAAGAAACGCGAAGTTTCATTTGATTTTTGCCTAAACTTAGGTAAACTTCATTTTGTAAATACGGAAAACTTGCAATGCTCGAATTTTTGCTTAGTCAAAGTTCGTTTTATAAATCTGGTTTTATAAAGCGGAAGTGGTGCGGAAGCCGAATGTCTCTATTTTCATGATTTTAGGGACGGGAGGAACAAGTCGTGCTCACATTACTATTTGCCGGCAGAATTAAGGTAAGGTAAGGTGGCAATACTTTCCTGGACAAAGTTTTTGTCTGTTGCACTTCAGTAATTTTTAGTGACCGCTGCTGCTAAAGAGGCGCGCGTGTGTCATGACAGTGGCGCCACTGTTTGCAGCGCCACTGTTATGACACACGGGTGTCACTTTAGCAGGAGCAGTCACTAAAAATTACTGAAGCGCGTGTGTCATAATAGTGGCGCTGCAAACAGTGGCGCCACTGTCATGACACACGCGCGCCACTAGTGATGTTCATACAATATTTAAAGCACAAGCTTTTAAATACTGCCACAGCGGCGCCACTGCAGCTCTTCTATATGCGTCAATTTGAAGGCACTCTTAGGGTCGTATTCCAGAACTCTACTCAATGCTTAAGTCAGGACTTGAGTATGATTCAAAGCACTAGAAATCATACTCAAGTCCCTGCCATTAGGGTCGTATTTCCAGTGCTTGTGTTTCCAGTGCAATCCTGACTTGAGCATTGAGTAGAGTTCTAGAATACGACTCTAAGGGTCGTATTCCAGAACTCTACTCAATGCTCAAGTC